TATATATCAGAAATATATATATATATATATATATTGTAGTTTTAATTTATTATTTGATGTGCAAGCCAATCAGTCAATCAAAGGTGCTACAGATATCAAATTCCCAGTGGGTACTGCTGAGGCCTGTTAGAAGAGGAAGATTTTATTTGGATTACGATCCTTTAAAGAGTTCTGTAGAGATCTCATCCGTTAAATTTATTTTATTATATGATAAATTGATATTTAAAATTGGATTTATTAATTTCAAGGGCTAGATATAGAATTGCATACCATGCAGTTTTATTTGAAACTGTAGAGAATCTAAGTCCGATTTTGGTCTATGGACTATGGCTAGCTAGAGATAGAGAACCAAGACTTCTTCATTTATTAGTATCATAACATATGAACATGTTACATGATGTTGTCAAAGATTTGTGTATTCAGACACGCCTTCCTATCTTTATCTCTTTTTCAGCGAGCTGATACGTCCATGTTTAATTTGGACAAAATTAAACAAAAAACAGAGAAAATACTTTTACAAAATGCTAGATAATATATTGCTGGTTTAATTGTAAGAAACTCTGAAGGAACTTATTCAATTTCTTTGTGTGCATGAAAAAGTCATTAATTTTTTATTTTTTTTTGTAATCTTATAGACAACTTATAATAAAATTATTTCCTGAATTAACGCACTGCATTTTACGGAACACTGTCTTTTCCTTACTGTAATTTCGAGAGGGAACATTATATGATAATGATAAATATCGATATAGTTTTTATTTAATTTAAGCAATTATCAATATATTTCATATCTTTAAATTTTATTTTTATCACAAAATATTTAGTCAGAAATTTATTTTATTTTAAAATTTAATTATTTAAATATTATATATTTTTAATGTTCTTCTCTGTTAAGCTATAATATTAGGAGAAAATTAATATTTTTGAAATTATATATAAATCTCGAAAGAGGTCCATGATTTTAAACTATATGTAAGATCACTCTAAGTTAATGAAATTTGCTTAGAGCGACCAAATCTCATCCTAAAGTGAATTAAGTCTGAAACCAACTCATGAAAGTGATTTTTGTTTGTTTAAAGTGAGTTGGTTACTCGCTCAAAGTGCATGAAATTCAGTCAGAGTTACCACATGAAAGCTTTGAGTGAGTGAAGTCAAAAAATATTTCTACAAGATCACATCAACTTGCTCAGAGCGAACGAAATTCGCTCAAAACTACTACAAAAATGCTTTGAGCGAGAAAGAATAAAGAGTCTCATTAGAGCATGCATAAAGTCGCTCAAAACAAGCCACATGGGCGCTTCGAGTGAGCACACCTCACCTAAAAACCCATTAAAGAATATAATAAAAATAGAGTCTCTAGGAGGTCTTTCTCTCGATCAATCAATATTTTTTTGAGCATAATTTAAAGAGATTAAAGAGAGTTCTTGTGAGAGCATTATTGTAATTTGGTCGATCGAATATCCTTCTTCTCTTGCGTAATAAGTGTTACTGTTGTACTCATGTAATCTTCTTTGTTCTCATTTAATACATTGTTTTTATTCAGTTAATCATTTTTTACTTTATACTTAATGTTTGTTTTGGTCAGTGTATGTTTTCATAATTTTAAGTGAGGTTGAAAAATCCTTTTAGAATTACGATCTAGGTAAAACGCCGATAACACTTATTTTTTAGGAATATGAATAAGTATTATTAGTCAATTTTTAGGACTTTGACCTTAACATATTGCTTAACAAAAATTATCAAGAAAATAGGATTTTCCTTAAACAACCTATAGTAACTCGCCTAAGAAACTATAGTTTAAATATATTTTAGGAATATTGAATTAGCTATATAATTTCTAATATTGAATGAAAATTAGAGTAGATTATAAGGGAAAGATTAGTGAAATCAATCTTTAACTGTTCATATTATTATCTAAATTCAAACTCTTCATTACTTTATTACATGTTTTTTAATTCCTTAATTTTGTAAATTTCTTATATTTGATCATGTTAAATAATTTTAAAATTCTTTAATTCATCTGTCCTAGTACTATAATTAAATTAAATAATTATAACTTAAGTCTTTATGAATTTGATAATTTGAACTTCTATTCAATTTACTTATGATAATTGATATACTTAATCAAATTCGTAATAGAATAGAAGGTAAAATGGTAACTTTCATACTTAAATTCTTTAATTAATAATTAAGGCTCAATTTCTAGTTCTATTTACAAAATCATAGTAGGATGTATTATTTTATTTTTATAAAAGTCGAATCCATATGAAAAAATTATACTTTCTTATTATATATATAAAAAATTACTTGTCGCTTATAAAAAATGTATTTAGTTTTTATTTATTTATTTTTATTATCATTTTGTTATTTACTTTTGCTTATTTTCCATTTTTCTTCTAACCTAATTTACCTGGATGTTCATATTTCGAGAATTACTATAGTATGCTGAGAATTCTTTAGACCAAAATTTAAATAAGTTTAAATCAGTTTGGACAATGTCAGAACGCGTAAATGCATGGATTCGTTAGAAAGTTACCAAAAAATGGATTTCCTTCGAAGAAGGAAGGAAAATGTGATATGTTTCAATTTTTATGTTGTCATCGGTATGAATGTGAGAGTTAAATTGAAAAAAAAAAAAAAAGTTTAAAAACTTTTTAATTTCTCAATTTCACTTGTTTTATATTTTATTTCCTATAATTTAAAGAAATAAATCCTGAAAGCCGGATCGACCGGTTCCTACAGCGTCGAACCATTCCACCCATCATTTTTAGATTTTTTTAAAAGTTTTTATTTATATATTTTTAATTTTTTTTTATCTTTATAATTTATGATCATTACAACAAAATTTATTATTAGCAATAATTATTTAACAATAATAAATTAATTGCTTTTATTTTATTATTTAATAAAAATATTAATAACTAATATATAATGACTATTAAAAATATATTTGTATCACACTAAAATTTACTATTAACGACAATTATTTATTGTGAAAAACTTAAGTCTCATATCGATTAGAAATAAGATAATTAAAAAGTATATAAATGGATGTTAACTCTCAGTTTGTTTTATAGGGTTGAATTAGATCTATAATTTATTATTTTAAGTTGGTATCAGATTACTCACCATTACTAAATTCAATAGTCCCTAAAGTTGAGGGGATGTATTGAGAAAAATCTAAATCCCACATCGACTATTGATAAAATAATTAATTAAGAAATAAGACAATTATAAAAATAAGAAAATTAAAGAATAGAAGACAACCATCATCTTACAAGTCCTATATCGACTAGAGATAAGATAATTAAAGAATATTTGTACTCATCTTACAAGTCTCATATCGACTAGAAAGTAAAAAATGCATAAAAAAATTATACACTTTTTTGACTATTATAAGAATTTTGATAAAAAAAATATTTTTGTGTAAGATTGAGATTCCTTTTTAATATATAACATTTTATTCAATTTCTCAAAACTATAAAATTAGAGGACTTATATTAAATAAGAAATAAAACGAAGTTTATAATATATTTCAGTTAATAATACAGAGAATTTGTTATAAAAAAAACGTGTTATAATATATCTATTTCTTAAAAAAATTCTAAAATAAAAGTATTTTAGTAAAAACATTTATTGATAATTTAAAAATGTATGGAATAATTTTATTCTGATCAAAAGCATAAAAAGAGAAGCAAAAAATTACTTATATTAGGAAGCAACTAAATTGGAGCTGCGAGTTTTAAATTACTTTTTTTTCTTTTTAAATTATCAGGTTTTAAGCCCAAGCAAACTTAAGGCTAAAATGTGTTGTTAATATTTTTTCTAAAAAATATTTACAAATTAATACACATACATTTTATTATTCACCTTTCCAATAAGATAAAATGGGAAAGATCGAAAACTTTGATATTTAATTTAATTTTCTTTTCTATAAAACAACCTACAAAATAATCTAACTCTCCATCCATTTGTTTCTTTCCACTTTCTTGAGTCATGCATACCATTAAATTCTTTGAAAGAGAAGAAAGAAGAGTTGATTACACTCGCAACAAAACTTTGACCGGTTGAAATATTTTTTAATAATATATAAAATGAATATACTTATTAAATAAAAAATAAAAGTCACACAATGTTATAATCTCATTATATTTTGATAAATAATAAAAATATATTAGAAAAGTGTTAAATTTTAAGATTATAAGAGAATCGTTGCTCCGGTGTCACAGTTAAATTAACCCTTAGTAAAAAATTCTGCTAAAATTTAAGCAACCTATAAAGTAGACCGAGTTAACTCGAGTGACACAAAAAATTGCTTATTTCATATGCTTTAATTACTAACGTACTCTCTTTCCCAAAATATATTAAATTTATTATATACTTTTGGAAAAGACTCGGCTGTAGTGCTGTACTGTTGCATTGTGATAGAGTGGCCTGTCACAATATTTTTTTAATCTTTAATTCTCTCTATCTCTCCCATGTTTTTTATCTGACCTAAGGAAGTTTCTCTCCAACCGCAACTGCAAGACCACAGGAATAGAACTCTCAGTTAACTTCTACACTTCTTGATGCCACAAAATACCTCTGCCACGCCTTTACATCATTTCACATCTACACCACATATACGAAAACAAAACTTAAAATAACTAATAATACGTAATACTAGGCAAACAAAGACACCATCTGCTCGTGTTTCCAACCATTAATACCGAGTCCCTTAGGCCTTAATTTCAAGCATACTGCATAGTTCATTCAAGACAAAGCCCTTAACTCACTCATTCAAGTACATATATAATTCTTCCAGGTTTAGTGAAAACATTGATGCACCACCAAAGCCCACTAAAACAAAAAGAAAGCACTAGCTTCAGGTGAGAAGTAACATGTTTACATATATTACACTATATAACCTAAACCACCATTCTAGCACTCGTAACGCCAAAGTTAACATTCACACCAAGCTTCAAATCAACCTCCACACTCCCATTCTCAACAACACCATTGTTGTTATTATCTCTTTGAAGCTGAGGCACCACACTGAACAATTGTTCCACAGAGGAACACTTCCTCGCGTTACTGCGACCACTTTTCGCCTTCACGGAACCACCACTAACCCCTTCCGAAGCCAATAGCGGCAACACCGACGGAATCTTGAAGTTCGTACGCGCCTTCGCGCCTCTCAGTCGCCGCGCCGCCGCGTCGTACGCACGCGCCGCCTCCTCCGCCGTGTCGAACGTCCCCAGCCAGTGCCGGCACCGCCCGATACGGTCGCGGATCTCCGCCGACCACCGCCCCCACGGCCTCTTCCTCACTCCTCGGTAGCTCTTGCTCGCCGGCGCGCCGCCGCTCTTCTTCGGCTCCGGCGTTGTTGCGCGGTGCGGGGGACCGAAGAGGACGCGTTCTCCCACCACCGCGGCGATTCCTTCGAGCGACTCCGACGACGCCGTTTCGGGCTTGGGAAGAGAAAAGTTAGTGGTGGCGGTGGCGGTGGTTGCGACCGCGTGTAAGAAGACTTCGCCGTTCATCGTTACGGGAAGGTTTAAGTCGTGTCAACCGTGGCAGTGGCGGAAGCAATGTGAAGGTATTTATAATACGGTTTGAGTCGAAGGAAATTGGTTTGAAATAAAAATATTATTTAGAAAAAAGAAATAATAGTAAATTTGATTAGGGAAATGTAGATGAAGATATTGATGTAAAATATGATAAGACTGTAATCCCTCGTATCTACATGTTTGTCTTTCCTAGGCTGCTTCTAGCCTGTGCCCTGTAGGGATACACACAACTTTGAACTTTCACTACCTAATGTAGCCCGGGCCCCTCCACTCTATATATCAGTAATAAACTTCATTTATACTACATGTTTTTAAAAAATATTTTTGTGTCATGTTTGTTTGTTTTGTTTTTTACTCTTTGAAGTCTGAGAGAAATAAAAAATGTAAAATATGACTAAGAGAGATGTAACCAAAAGCACAGAAATATTGCATCATAAAAAATCTTGAAAGAAGGAATACAAGTCAAATTTTATTTGAGTATTTGTATAATATGAAAAATGTAATTTAACTTAAAGTATATGTAACGGAGTTGCTTATAAGCAACTCTATATGTGTCATATTACTGTTATATTAATTCTTGTTTACTTTGTAGGTTGTTTAAATTTTAGCAAAGTTATTTATAAAAGTAATTTTGCTAAAATTTAAGCAACTCATAAAATGGATAAGAACTAATATAATAATGATGTGACACAGAAAATTGTTTATAAACAACTCTATTAGAGATGTTTTTAGGCTCACTTTCTAGTTTCTAGTACACCATGTGGGATTGGGCTATGTTTGCGTTAAGTTAGAGGAGATAAAGAAATGGAAAAAAAGCACAAGTCAGAGGCTATATAATGATATATTTGATTTCACATTAATTAAAAAATTAACTAATTACTTTTAGTGAATTTTTTTAACTACATTTTTTTTAATGTAAAACTCAAATTTAATATATATATTTTTAAAGAGATTCATTTCAATATTATTTAAATTAATGGCTTAATTATTAGTGTACAAATTCCAATTTTCTATGTAATTAAAGCGACGAGCAATGATTTATTATTGTAATGTAAATATATGTTTGGAGATAGTTATGAACTAAAAGACTAACATACACCGAGTTTATGTTTATTTTTTATTCCAAACACCTCCAATGGATCAGTGTCCAAAGCTAAAATTTTGTCTGGAATAAACAAACATATAGTTTAATGAGTTAGTTCGTGACAAACGTATGTTAATTATTATTTTACATTCCAAACCAAAAATCAATCTTTACAACGAAATGAGATGAGGAATGGAAATCATTGATCAGCAGGATGAGAAAGTTATGTTATATATATCTGAAATTAGTAACTACATGTTGGAACATGGATCTCCTTTTAAAAACAAAACTACATACAGTTTACTTTATATCATATAATTCAAAATTATTTAAGAGATCCTGATCCTCAGAAGTCACAATACAAAGCATGATTTGTATTAGTGAATTTACGATGATATTGGAAGAGAGAGAGAAAAAGGAATTATGCAGAATAATACATTATAATCTGATCCGATGAGATGAGAAGAGCGTTATAACCTAAACCACCATTC